TCTTTCTTTGTTTTCTTCTTATTTATATGGCTATAGAACCTTTTACTATTGGTTTTAATTCCCTTTGCAAGGTCCAATTCTACTTGACTTTTAGCCTGTCTCACTTTATCCCTACATGTTCTGACCTCAATAAGGTAGCTTTCCTAGCTGATCTCTCCCATCTTCCACTCCCTGTATGCTTTCTGCTTTTTCTTAATCACCTCTCTGAGATGCTTGCTCATCCAGCTTGGTCTGCAACTCCTGCCTTTGAATTTTTTCCCCTTTCTTGGGATGCAGACTTCCGATAGCTTCTGCAGCTTTGATTTAAAGTAATCCCAGGCCTCCTCTGCCTGATAAGTTCTTCAGTCTAGTCCACTTCCCTAACTAATTTCCTTAATTTTTGAAAGTCAGCCCTTTTGAAATCAAAAACCCTAGTTGCAGATTTATTTTTGTTAATCCTTCCGTTCAGTTTGAACTGAATTAGCTCATGATCACTTGAACCAAGATTATCCCCTACAACCATTTCTTCTATGAGGTCCTCACTACTCACCAAAACCAAATCTAAAATGGCATCCCCTCCAGTCGGTTCAGCAACTACTTGATGAAGGAATCCATCAGCTATCGCATCTAGGAACATCTGAGCCCTATTATTATTACTAGCACTCGTGTCTAGTCTATATCTGGGAAGATAAAGTCTCCCATGATCACGCAGATTCCATTAGTATTTACTTCATTAAAAACATTAAAGAGGGCTCTATCCATATCCAAATTAGATCCCGGCGGTCTATAGCACACCCCAAGCACTATCCCAGGGGAGGCTCTAATAGTTTTCTTCCCCAATGTAATTTTTGCCCAGACGGACTCTGTCTTATCCATTCCATCGATTCTTATTTCTTTACATTCTACCTCATCATTGATATACAATGCTACTCCACCACCTTTACCTTTATTTCGGTCTTTCCTAAACAGCACATACCCTTCAATACCTGTAGACCAGTCATGACAACTATTCCACCATGTTTCTGTTCTCCCTACAATATCTGGTTTCACTTCCTTCACCAGTACCTCTAGTTCCTCCATTTTGTTACCTAGGCTCCTCGCATTGGTGTACAAACATCTTAATTTTTGCTGTTTGGCCTCGCTCACATTCTGTACCCTATTAGGCACAGTCATTCTACAGCCAGTATAACCTATTAGACTGGTATCCACACTGCCCTTCCTCCTTATATACATTCTCCTACCACGGCTGTATACTTTCTTACTTCGTTTTCTTCCCTTTCAATGCTAAAATCCGGTGTGGAGATTACCTGGACATCTCCCCCAAATTCCTAGTTTAAAGCTCTCTTAATCAGTTGTGCCAGTCTCCACCCTAGAAGTCTATTTCCTTCCCTACTCAGATGAAGTCCATCCTGAGAGAACTATCCTCTGTCCATGAATGCCTCCCAGTGGCCATAGATCCCAAAGCCCTCCTTATAGCACCATTGCCTAAGCCATCTGTTGATAGTCATAATCCTGTCACACCTTTGTTGCCCTTTTCTAGGAACAGGCAGAATCCCACTAAAGATCACCTGAGCCTCCATTTCCTTAAGCATCTTCCCCTGCCCAGCATAGTCTCCCTTAATACGTTCCAGCGAGAATCTAGCCATATCATTTGTTCCCACATGAAGGATAATTAGGGGATTCTTTCCTGCTCCCTTTAGGATCCTTTTCAACCTCAGGTCTACATCCCGTATCTTAGCACCTGGAAGACAGCATACCCTTCTATTCTCTGGATCAGCTCTGGTTACAGGCTTGTCTAGTCTCAGTAAAGAGTTCCCGATTACATAGACCTGCCTTTTCCTGGTGACGGTGCTATTCTCCAGTCTATCCCCTGTTCCCTCTGGCTGCAAGTTCTTTCCATTCCTATTCTCCCTTGTAATCCTCTTCAACCTACCCTGTATCCTCCTGGGGCTCATATTTGGTGTAGTTTCCATTGACTCTTCCCCTTTTCCTATAGGACTAGCCGCTCTTCTCTTCTTCCTTGCCCTTCCACCTTCAGTGACTACCTGCTGAGCCCTTTCTTCATTTTCCAACTCTGCAAACCTGTTCTTGAGCTCTATTTCTCCTTCACTAGCCCATCTTTTCCTCTGCCTGGTTCTTTTAGTCACATGCTTCCACTGACCACTTTCCTCACCCAGTCTCCCCTCAGAATTCCCCAGCCCTGCTTCCATCTGCAAGTCTGAGCTTTTCCCTTCAGATACCTCATGTCTTTGCTCCATAATCTGCTCGAACCTCTTTCTAAACTCAACCAGACTTTCCACCTGCACCTCCAAACCTTGGATCTTTTCCTCCACCAGCTCTATCAGACGGCATTTCATGCAGACAAAACTCTTACCAGGTACCTCCTCCAGGATCATGTACATACTGCAGCTTCCATATTCAGTCATCCTCATTGTGTCTTCCACTACATGAGTCACTCCCACTGCTGCCTCTGTATCTGTCATACCCTTCCCACCTAAGTCCTGTTAATCTTCTCCAACAGAACTCCCACTCAAACTCCCCTGTTTACAGCTCTGTTTGCTAGCTCCTGTGCCGCGACAGCTGTCTGCGTTAAGGGGAGAGGCAAGAATTCAAACAATCTGGGTTCAGTTTTGCCCCAAATTCTCCACGCAAACTTGAGCAAATTATTTCAGCTCTCTGAGCTTCAGTTTCCCCATCTGTAAAATGGAGAGTCCCACCATTTGCCTATTTAGCCTTTGAGCTTTTTGTGGCAATGGTTCTCTGTCACTGTGGGCATGTCTACACTGCAGTTAGACACTGACGGCTGGCCTGTGCCCACTGACTTGGGCTCACACGGGGTTGTTGGGCTGTGGGGTTGTTTAATTGCAGTGTAGATGTTATGGCTTGGGCTGCAGCCCAAGGTCTGGCACCCTCCCACCTTGCAGGTCCTACAACCTGTCTCCAGCCCGAGCCCAGACATCTACACTGCAATGAAACAGCCCCTTCACCTGAGCCCTGTGAGCCCACGTCAGCTGGCATGGGCCCGCTGTGGACTTTTTAATGGCAGTGTAGACATACCCTTGGTGTCCGTTCAGCACCTCTCACAATGGGGACTCTGACCTTGGTCAGTGTCTGTACAGAGCCCTGCACAACAGGGGGCCTGATCTCAGTCGGGGGCTCTGCAACTCCCGGCATTATAGGATCCCTGATTTTGTTTGGGGACTCTGCCGCATCTGGCAAAATGTGGGGCCAGGATCTCCTTCAGTGTCTGTGCAGTGACCAGTACAGTGGTGGGGTCAGTGCAGTACCAGGCCCAACGGAGACACAGATCTCAGTCGAGGTCTCTGAAGTGCCCAGCACAATGGAGGCACTGCCTGGCACAAGGGGGGCCGTGATCTCGCTCCAGGTCTCCGTTTTCCCTGGCACAATAGGGGGCCTGATGTCAGTTGGGGTCTCTACAGCGCCCGGCACAACAGGGGCATAGATCTCACTTGGGGTCTCCGCAGCGCCTGGCAGAACAGGACCCAGATCTCACTTGGGGTCTCCACAGCGCCTGGCAGAACAAGGTCCCCGATTTTGTTTGCTGTCTCTGCAGCACCTGGCACAATGGGAGCCTGATTTCACTTCGTATTGATGCAGGGCTTGGCACAACAGGGGCCCGGAGATCAGTCAGGGTCACTGTAGCACCCAGCACAACAAGGTCCCTGCTCTCTTTAGGGCTCTCTGCAGTTCCTGGTACAATGAGTGCCCCAAACTTGGTCAAGGTTTGTGCAGTGTCCGGCACACTGGGGCACCTGATCTCAGGCAAAGCCTGAGCCACGCTCAGTACGATTAGAACCCTGATCTCAGTTGGACACCTGGAGAGAAAAGCGGGAAGATTTTCAAGAATTTGATATCAGTATTTCAGAACTGAGGAGAAAATGGGGCACAAACTAAATATTTGCCAATATAAGAGAGAAGCACCAAGATCTGGGTAGATTTTATGTCATCACTCAACAGTTCAAGAGAAAACAGGGGAAATTTGAGGGGATTATACAGCGATATTCAAGCAACAACAGAACAGGATGGATTCTTTTTGCCTCATATTCACATGGACAGCAGGGAGCCCTTTCACAGGGGAAAAGAGTGGGGCTGGAGTCCGGTGGTCACTGGCTGTGGGGCGGGGCTGGCAGTGGGCTCTGGAAATGTGACTAGCAGGCGGTAGGGGCAGGGGCTGCTGGGTTGGGTGGGGGAAAGTAGCTGGGACTGGGAAACCTGGGGCCCGGCAGTCTCCATGGGGAATGCTTGCTCCTCTCTTCCCTTCCTGTGCCTTTCCATGCCCTGTTGCCAACAGAGAGTGCCCCCCCAGCCCAGCCCAGCCCAGCCCAGCCCATCAGGACTCTCCCAGCCTCTGCCCATTTCAGAAATCACTCAGGGAAACATTTCCCACCTAAACAAGGACAAAACACTGCAGGGAAAAATGGGGGGAACACCCCCAAACCTGAGATTTGAACTAGACACAGGAGAAGTGGAGAGCAAATGGGGTACAGTCGGTGGAGGAGACCAGAGAAGACCTTCTCAGGCAATTGAGAGAAAAGCGGCGGGGGGGGGGGGATCACCATGGAGTTTGACCGTTGCTAACCAGAGAGAAAGGGGAAGGACCGGAAAGGATGGTATCACCCTGGGAGAGGGCAGCGGTAAATCCGAGGGGATCTCAGCCCCCAGCTTCTCGGGGTCACCTGCTCTTCTCCTCTTCCTGCAATTTCCTAACTGTACAGACATTTTTCCATCCGCCCCTTTCCCCAGGTCTCCCTCCTCCTCCTCCCCCCAGCCCGGGCTCACTCCCCCCGGCCCGGCCCGGCCCGGCCCGGCCCGGCAGCCCCCGCCCAGCCACACTCAGGGACCCGGGGGGCTGGTCCCCTCCCCCGGCGCCCGGGGGCCCCAGGCAGAGCCGGGCGGGGGGCGCTGGGCTCCCGCTCTTACAGCGGCTCTGAGCCCCGCGGGCGGGCGGGCCGCAGGGAGCACATCGCGGCGCTGCGAGATGCCGGGCCCCGCTCCGGTACCTGCAGGTCGCAGCTCCGCGGGGGCAGAGCCCAGGGCGGCTCCCGCTGACGAAGGGCCCAGGCCGGGCGCGCGCGGGGGTCTCAGCCCGGCCCGCAGCCTCAGGGGGAGCAGCAGCAGCAGCACCGCGGCGCGCACGCAGCAGAGGTCAGACCCCACCCCCTGCCAACGTCACTTCCGCTCCCGGGCGAGTCAGCAACTACATCTCCCAGCCTGCCCCGGGGGGCTTCCGCCCTCTGGAGCCCAGGTAAGGGGGAGGCCTGAGATCAGCCTGGTTCCCCCAACCTGGCATCCCCTCGCCCCGCAGAGAACCCCCAGCCCGCGCCTCTCAGACCGCCCCCGCCAAGCGGCCCCTTCCCCCGGTGCACTCTCGTGTCCCGGGGGCCCCGCCCCTCGGCCGGGCGCTGTGCTGCGGGGCGCCTCGGCCCCGGGGTCTCCGTGTCCCCCCGGCTCCGACCGCCCCCCCCGTTCCGTGTCCTGCCCCCCACTTGTCCGACCGTCCCCCCGCTCCGTGTCCCGCGTCCCCCCGGCTCCGACCGCCCACCGTCCCGCCACTCCCCGGCTCCGACCGCCCCGTGTCCTGCCCCCCCGTCCGACCCCCCCCCCGTCCGGCCTCCTCCGGGGTCCGACTGGCCTCCGCCCCGTGACCTGCCCCCCCCGGCTCCGACCGCCCCCGCCCCGTGTCCTGACCCCCCACTGTCCGGCCTCCTCCGGGGTCCGACTGGCCTCCGCCCCGTGACCTGCCCCCCGGCTCCGACCGCCCCCCGCCCCGTGACCTGCCCCCCCATCCGACCCCCCCCCCGTCCGGCCTCCTCCGGGGTCCGACTGGCCTCCGCCCCGTGACCTGCCCCCCCCGGCTCCGACCGCCCCCCGCCCCGTGTCCTGACCCCCCCCCCCGTCCGGCCTCCTCCGGGGTCCGACTGGCCTCCGCCCCGTGACCTGCCCCCGCCATCCGACCCCCCCCCCCGTCCGGCCTCCTCCGGGGTCCGACTGGCCTCCGCCCCGTGTCCTGCCCCCCCATCCGACCCCCCACCGTCCGGCCTCCTCCGGGGTCCGACTGGCCTCCGCCCCGTGACCTGCCCCCCCCATCCGACCCCCCCCCCGTCCGGCCTCCTCCGGGGTCCGACTGGCCTCCGCCCCGTGTCCTGCCCCCCCGTCCGACCCCCCCCCCCGTCCGGCCTCCTCCGGGGTCCGACTGGCCTCCGCCCCGTGACCTGCCCCCCCCATCCGACCCCCCCCGTCCGGCCTCCTCCGGGGTCCGACTGGCCTCCGCCCCGTGTCCTGCCCCCCCCGTCCGACCCCCCCCCCGTCCGGCCTCCTCCGGGGGTCCGACTGGCCTCCGCCCCGTGACCTGCCCCCCGGCTCCGACCGCCCCCGCCCCGTTCCCCCCCCCGTCCGGCCTCCTCCGGGGTCCGGCCTCCGCCCCGTGACCTGCCCCCCCGGCTCCGACCGCCCCCCGCCCCGTGTCCTGACACCCCACTGTCCGGCCTCCTCCGGGGTCCGACTGGCCTCCGCCCTGTGACCTGCCCCCCCCCGGCTCCGACCGCCCCCCGCCCCGTGTCCTGCCCCCCCATCCGACCCCCCACCGTCCGGCCTCCTCCGGGGTCCGACTGGCCTCCGCCCCGTGACCTGCCCCCCCCCCCATCCGACCTCCTCCGGGGTCCGACTGGCCTCCGCCCCGTGACCTGCCCCCCCCCCATCCGACCTCCTCCGGGGTCCGACTGGCCTCCGCCCCGTGACCTGCCCCCCCCCCGGCTCCGACCGCCCCCCGCCCCGTGTCCTGCCCCCCCCATCCGACCCCCCACCGTCCGGCCTCCTCCGGGGTCCGACTGGCCTCCGCCCCGTGACCTGCCCCCCCCCCCCCATCCGGCCTCCTCCGGGGTCCGACTGGCCTCCGCCCCGTGACCTGCCCCCCCATCCGACCCCCCACCGTCCGGCCTCCTCCGGGGTCCGACTGGCCTCCGCCCCGTGACCTGCCCCCCCCCCATCCGACCCCCCACCGTCCGGCCTCCTCCGGGGTCCGACTGGCCTCCGCCCCGTGACCTGCCCCCCCCCCCGGCTCCGTGTCCCATATCCCAACCCCCCATGACAAATGGTCTCCATGAGGGGTTGCTTCGCCCAGCGCTGAGACGGAGTCGTCTCGGGAGTAGGTACCTATTGGCCATTATCTGCCAGTCACTGAGCATGGAAATTTCTTAAAAAATTTGGCCCCTCCATGCCATCCATTTTCCTGTTAAAGAAGCCTCGCCCAGGGCTCCCACCACCCCATGTGAACGGCTGGGAGGCGCAGCTGATAACTCCCTATCCATTTATCAAATACTGATATGAAATCACGACAGACTTTGCTTCTCTCCCCATTTTCAAAACTGGAGGAATTTCAGGTTTTGGAGGGAAAACTGTTGCTGTTCTCAGAAGAAGAGGAGGGAATGAGGGAGGAGGAAAGGACTCTGGCCTCATCCCTCCTGAGCCATGTTTCTGGTCTCACTGAGACACTTCAAGGAAAAACATGGAGTGACTCCAGATTAACATGGGGGCAAATAAAATCAGGATATGTCCCTGTGGGGAGGGGTTTTTAGCTGTTGCTAAAGTGGGGGGAAGCCCTCAGTCTCTGTCTGACTGTGTTTCTCTCTTCTCAGGATATTTGGGTTGAGCTTCCTGGGTAAGATTCTGCTGCCTGCATTGTGATCTGGGAGCCCAAACTGAGCAGCAGCTGCTGCTCCCCTCGTGGGGTCTGGGCTTGGAAGTGACTTGGAGTGAAGCTTCCTCTATGCCCAGGCAAGGTGAGGACTTTCTCCAGCTGTAATTAGCTCCATGGGCCAGCCCTAGGCTCTGCCCACACCAGCTTCAGAGGCAGATACTACAAATGATTGATAGAGACCTCAGGGAACCTGCTGGGGATGGGTATGAAAGTGACTGTGTACAAACAGCCCCTCCTCACCCCACACTCTCCTCCCCTTAGCAATTGCAGGAGCTGATCCAGCCATAGGAGAGCAAACACCCAGGAATGGCTGGCTGTCCGCCAGAGGGGAAGGGACCGGAGATGGGAAACACAAGGAGAAAAAGGAGAGAGAGATTGATAGGGGTAGTGGGAGAAATAATTGGGGAGAGAGATTCCCAGATCTTTAACGTGCCCACACAGACTTAGTGCAGCATCCCTGGGCAGATTCACTTTCCAGTGAACAAGGTGAAATACAGGGAGAGGAAAAGCCAATTCCTGACTCTGCCTGTGCCCCCTGCTGTGAGAGTGTGCTGCCCTGGGGCCAATGTCAGGGGAATTCCCCCAGGGTCACTCCTTTTGTTCTGCTTGTGATGGGTTGGATCACAGAAACCCCCTGGGAGCTGCCACCTGATGTGCCAAGACTACTTCTGCTCCTGCTTTCCTGCCCTGACAGCTTAGGGACTCCAGCACCCTGCCTGGTTTGAGCCAGACCCACTAGCCTGTTGCAAACCCAGACCCAGGTCTGAACCATGTCCCCTAACAGCTGTAGGCTTAACTGAAAGCAGCTTTGTCATAAAAATAAAGGGAAGGGTAAAACCCCTTTAAAATCCCTCCTGGCCAGAGGAAAAATCCTCTCACCTGTGTAAGCAGAGTCAGGATGAGCTCCACCCTGACATCTGGTGGTGAGGTGTGGCAAGTTGTGGAAAAGAACTTCAGGGGCTGATCTCATTTGCATAGACACACCCACCTCGCCTAGAATGAGGCCATAACTGCCCAAGTCATTTTGGCTGTTGTGGGATCCCCAGTGTCTCTGTTATTGGGGCAGGAAGAATAAATTGTTATTACCCTGATTATGGGAACTGTGCCTGGAACTGTACTTGGCCTTTTATTGTGATGGAGGGACTCACCATCAACTTAGTAGCACTCGATAGGCAAGGGACATGGGTTCCAAAACTCTGTGAAATGAGGGGCTTGAGACAGGTATTAGTACCTGGTGGTGTGGGTCCCTTTGTGAGGGCATGAAGCACCAATTGCACTTCTGTCTCTCTCCACTGTGGAATGTCGGAGCTAATTTTGGGGCTATTAGGAGTTTTGCTATAGGTACTGTGCTGAATTCACTTTGGCCTTATGGTGCACCAGCACTAAGGCTCCCACTACTATGAGCTGAAATCACTGTGTCAAGTAGTGGGGAGCTAGAAGATATAGGGTGCAGTGGTGCTGTTTGTGGATAGGCTGGTGGAGCGTTTGTGAGACAGTGAGGCGAGCTGAGCAGAGCTGCTCGTGAGATGGTGGAGCGGAGTGTTTGTGAGATGCTGACCTGTGCAGAGTGGGTCCTGTGGGGCAGTCAGCTTCAGGTCAAGTAATGTGCCCCCTTACCTTCCCCTCCCCCCCCACACAGGCACATTGTTTAGTCAGACTGGGGAGTAACACTCTGGGAGATGAACTTTTGAACTCTGGGGCTGAACTTTGGGTGATTTGTGGATTGCTGGACTCCAGACGGTTGGGTTCTGGGACTCAAGAACCTGAGGGAAAGGATATGGCCCAATTTGCTGGTGTGGGTGTTTGCTCATGGTTTGGTTAATCAACACTAGTTCTGGTGTTTCCCCAATTTAATGCTGATGTCGTTTACCTCATGTTATTAAAGATTCTCTGCTACACCCAGACTCTGTGAGAGGGGAAGTATTGCCTCTTTGAGGTGCCCAGGGGGTGTGTAAGATTTTCCCAGGTTGCTGGGTGGGGGCTTGAGCCATTTTTGCATTTGTTTTGATGAGAGGGAACCCCTGTGTACTGAACCCGGCCCTTGCTGCTATCAACTTGGCCTGGCAGAAGGGTTACACCTGTAAAGGGTGAAGAAGCTAAAGGTAACCTTGCTGGCACCTGACCAAAATGACCAATGAGAAGACAAGAGACTTTCAAAAGCTGGGAGGAGGGGGAGAAACAAAGGGTCTGGGGCTGTCTGTATGCTGCTTTTGCCAGGGACAGAACAGGAATGGAGTCTTAGAACTTTTGGTAAGTAATCGAGCTAGGTATGTGTTAGATTATGATTTGTTTAAATGGCTGAGAAAAGAATTGTGCTAAATAGAATGACTGTTCCTGTCTGTGTGTGTTTTTTGTAATGTAAGGTTTTGCCTCGAGGGATTCTCTATGTTTTGAATCTAATTACCCTGTAAGGTATCTACCATCCTGATTTTACAGAGGTGATTCCTTTACTTCTATT